TTTCATTGATGCAGTGCAGTCATTTCATTGTGCCTGATTGTACAGATTTCTCCTTCAGTTTCCAGTCTGGTAACCGCTGCTCTAACCTTCTCAGAAACCCCTCCACCCTGTGGGACGCAGCTGCACCAAAAACAGAGGGAGGGGTTTTCTCAGAGTCCACGTCGTCTCGTGTCCCTTCAGAGACTCCAAAAAGAGCAATACTGAGGAAGGGACACAGCTGACGTGAGGGACAAATGAGAGTTATCTTAAAGCCCTGACAGGTGCTGTTCATGGCAGCAGAGCGGCCGACGGCGAGTCCCACAGAGAGCTGCATGTCGGGGTTTGGGTTGGGTCGGCTTCCTGAGGCGGGGACATATGCTCTTAGCTGGAGTTGTCTCGTCATTCACTTCTAAGCCAGCTTCCAGGAGGGAGTTTGGTGGCTGTCACAGTATATGTGTTTATTTTTGAATGCCACTGTGCGGCTTTACGCTCTTTTAATAGCCTTGCGCATGCTTTTGTGTGCACATGTGTATTATTTTGAGAGCAGCCACTCCAGATAACATAGATAATGTCATTTCCCCGCATGGTGTGACACCTGTGGGAGTGTGCGTGGCTTTCTGTGTTAACGGTGCCTTCCTTTTAATCAGAACCCCCGTGTGTTTCCCCTGTAGAGCTGTCATCCGACGAGTCATGATGGCAGAGCTGCCACTGTTTACACCATCTAAATCCTGCAGCAGGCAGGGGTGAGATTACCAGCCTCTTACCTGTTGCCCTAATCAAAGGAATCATTACAGCACCACTGGATGTTACTTGGAATAGCGCCTTCTAAAAATACGCACTCTAAACACACACACAAGCACAGAAAGGGCAGGTGGAGAGAGCCTTTCGGGTTGCAAAGTACATGTAGCCTTTGTTTGATGTTGTTTATTCATCACTGGACTGTCCTAGCTGCACAGCTCGCTGGAGTTTCCATGGCAGCACTTTTAGGCTCCAGTTAGTTGTCTGTGTTGAAAATGAATCAGCTCTGTCTCCCTAAAATTATGCTCTGATGAAACTAAACTGCATTATTAGTTTATTGTATTAGCGTAAATTACTTTTGTGTGTGTAGTATCACAAATACACTTTTAATTTACTGCTCTACTGTAGCTCCTGTTCTGCTTGTCGACTGATAAGGGTTTTGAAATGCCTTTGTTTCTTTATGTTTTACATGTTTAATTAAAAGAGACCTTTGAACATTTATCCTTCAGTATCGACAGGCTTTTTGTAAGTAATGTGTAGTCAATTAGAAAGACATTGGAGGTGACTACATACAGGAAAATGCAGCTGCTTGAGAGTCAGAGCATTTGTTGTATCCGAAATCAGTTAAATAAGTAATGACAATCAGAAAAATGCTAAAATTTCAAATCCGATAATTGGTCAGGCTGATAATTCAACCCCTGGTTGGTAACTCTGCAAATGGAGGAGAAGCTTCTAATACTTTGTGAAAGGATTGAATTTTAACCCAAACCATAATATTTTCCAAACAGCAAGTGAAAATGTAGTGGAGTAGTCCCAAACAGGACCCCGATCTGCTACGCCACAGAATACGTTTATTTCAAAATGTAATTTAAAAAAGCAGTTTAGTTTTATAGGAATGTAATTATCTGGAGCCAAAGTTAAAATGAACACATTTTACTTTTAAAATAAATACATTTTCATTAAGATAGTTTAATGTAGCTCGTATTGACACCGCCTTGGCAACGTCATCATCACATTTCACATCACAGGACTGCCTGCTTCTTTTATGTGCAAACATCTTCCAACGTGCAATAATTTAAGGGATATTATATTTAGAATCTTCCACATCACCATGATGCCGCTGGGTTTGGTGCTGTTTTTGTTGCTTTTTTATTACTGATGTGGACAGATGTATGTCTGTATTCAATTTTTCAATTTTTTTTTTGGTCATTTTTAGGCACTGTAGAGCAAATTTCATTGTACAAATATGTGCAATGGCAATAAAGCTATTCTATTGTATTCTATTCTATTCTTCTGTACAACTTGGTTAGGTTTAGATACCAAACCTACATGCTTAAGTTTAGGAAAATATCACAGTTTGGGTTAAAAATGTTCACTTTCTTGACATGTTTGAAGCTTCTTCACCATCTTTGCTGCCACAGGGAGTGCTGCCACATGTAATATATGATTGTTAGGCTGAAAATGTGCAACAGCGTAGCCATAAAATGAATCGAGATACTTTAGAAACAAATGGCAGAATATACATTTCCTTCAATCTTAGCGGAGAATGTAGTTTAGCCGTATAGGAATGTAATTGTTGGGAGGGGAACTGGCACTTCGGCTGCGTTTTCAAAATGCTCAGCAGGACATAAATATCTGTCACTGTATATGTGACATGGCTTCCCTTTTTTGGTGCAGAGTGCACCCACTCATCCTCTCCCCTGACTGAAGAGGCCTGTGAACAGCTCTCGTCCACTGAGGCCACTTGACATGTCGAATATTTGATCCACATAAGCTGCCACTGTGGAGAGAGACTCATCCACATGAGAGAGAGAAAGCAGATGACTGAAGGCAGAATAGATGGTGCAGAATCAATACTGACTTCAATATTAGCTTCTAAAATCACTTCTTGATTACCAATCTATTATTGACAGTAATTTCCTTCATGAAAAAGGTAAATAGTTTTTTTTGCAAAAGTTTGGTATGCATGATATTTTAAAAATATTAAATAATGGTTATTTGTGGTTTACGTGGACTTCTTATTTATAATTCGGTTCAGTATGATATACATAACCCAATAACAAATCAATCATTTTTATTACCATCTTTGCCGCAGTAATATGTCTTTATGTTGACTCTGGTATGTCTTTGTGACCGTTTGGGCCCATGTTTGCAAAAGGACAGTGCTGTGAAGCCATTTTCATGCATGACATTCAGATAATTGAGCTACTTAATGGAGGCTCCTTTCCTGGGAAAGACGCATCATTCAGGAAATGGCCATATAGGAAGTAATAGGCAGAGAGCTTGGAAATGGACGTTGGAGCAGTAAAAATGACAGAGTGGCGGACCTCTCCTGAATAGCACCTTAAGTAGAGATGGACTGATACTGCATTTTTGGAGCCAAAGTCGAGTGAAAGATTCTGGTATTGATGCATCCTCTAATATCGTTTGTTTGATTTGTATCGTATATTCATATATACAGTATCCATATATCCATGCATTTTCCTCCAGTCGTCCACTGTTAGGTCTTGGTGGCAGCTGGGTAAGCAGGGCGTTTCAGACATCCCTCTCCTCAGCAATGTTTTCAAAGTCCTCCTGGGACATCCCCGAGGTATTTCCAGGCCAGATGAGATAAATAATTCCGGTCTACCCCAGGGTCTCCTCCCACTGGCCTGGAAAACCTCCAGCTTAACCTTGTGTATATTGAACCTGCTGTTCTACTTACACTAGATAGCATTTTATTGAAAAGGGAAAATGATGGGGGTCATTGTTTATTAACTTTCCTGCAATGTGATTCATAAACTGGTTACTTTGAAGACACCACTTGACTCTGCTCAGCTGTTATGTGTGCTCTGCTACATGCACTGCAGACGATGCTGAGAAAGTTATAAACAGTTGAGTCAGAGCCGTTCTGCTGGACAAACTAAGTGATGACGCTGTTTTTAAAATACTCCAAGCATCTTTTTCTGCATTACGTTCTGTCAAAAACTGTTTTAATGCTGGCACATATTGGACAACTTACTAAGTTTTCTGCAATGCAGCCTAAAAAAATTATGTTTTGGCGATAAAAAGTGACAAATTAACGCTTCACTTCAAATGTTTTGAGTTTGACAGCTTCTAAAGAAATTGTGTTCAGCCAACAAATTACATTGAGTTAAAAGAATTGGCTTTTCTGCAGTCAAAGGTAGTTGTAATTTAAATTACACACAATATTTAGTTGATGCAATTACCATAATTATTATGTCAACCCAACCCATCAAAATAGTGGAAGGAATAGACTTTCTATGCAAGGGTTGGGGTCTAATTTTAACTATGTATTGTGTTAAACTGTTAATAAATCACTTTAATTCATCGCTCTTCAAAATGTAACCCAAAAAATGTTCCGTATAAAAAGTCTCCTGCAAAATGGAACAAAGGGCCTTTCAAAAAAAAAAAAAAATCATCATTAATAAGCAGCGATAATTCCAAATGTTAACACCATCTTCGGAACGGCAGCTCTTCCTGACTGAGTTGTCGAAATCTTTCCAGCGCTGTCTACACTTATCTGACAAAGTTTATCTTGCAAAGTGGTTGTATAAAGAAACCATTACTGCGCTGTTCCTGTGCCGCTCTGGGCGAAGCAAGATGGAGCTGCGATGATGAGGTGAAGGGAGACACAAGCCGAATCACAGCCACCGCTAAGTGCAGGAAATGTTGAGGAATCCGTCTTGTCATCGGCGCAGACGTAAGGATATAAGATGCGTTGCCAAGAGGAGGATTATCCTCCTTTTCCATCTATAGCTTTGTTCCTGTTTCACTCCCTCACGCTGTCGCTTTGTGTGTCCCTTTGACCCAGTCTGTACTTTACATTTCAAGCTTTTAGCACAAACTCTGTCTCATTCTCGCCGACATACCTGCCACTCGAAAACTGCAGCGGAGCAGACGTGGAGGAGGTGCAGTTTGTCTAATTTCCCAGCTCATTTCCAATCGCCTCTCTGACGACGGCAGCCTTTTTCTTAAGGGGAGCAGCTTCCTATTAAAAGTTTATTTAGCAGAAGCCGGAGGAATGATTAAAATTCGGCACTAGCCAAATAGGATGAGGAGCGTTGCGGGGAGCGAGTGATTACACCCCAGTGTGCGTTGTTCGTGCGTACGCTTGTGTAGTGACGGATTTTTTTTATGTCAGTGTTTCCCCTGAAGGCACCACAAGCATCTGTAATATTACTGTACAAGATGAGGCTGAATAATGAAATTAGCACGTCTCATATCTGCAAATTACACTAATTTCTTCTTCTGCCTCTCTCCCTCTTTTCTCTGCTTTCCAGAGCGGTCCGGTGCTATCTTCCAGTGTTTCCCCTCCCCTCAGTTTTCCGTCTGTCACCTGGTAAGTACGCTCACATTCACCTCCCACATATACAGTGCAGACTGAAGCTTTCAGTGTTTGTCAAGCCTTTACGTAATCATCTGCTCGCTGCCTGCCTGGGTGAAGCTGTAAATTGCCGCCACCTTTGCGAAACGGAGCATCATTTCTTGCTAATGTACATTGAAAGGTGTTGTGTAAAGTCAGCAGTGTTGATAGCGCAGGACTGCAGACAGTCCACCTGCTTCTGGTGAGCACAATGAGACAGATATAAGATCTAGACTCCAGCCGTGTTTCCATGATTTATTTTTATGCACATTCCTAAATATCACTTTAGAAAAAATTTATCGAAACAGCAAAAGTTGAAAAAACGCTCGCTTGAGGAGGGTCTTGCCTGTTCTGATAAAGAATTATTGCACTCTCGAAGTTTAAATTAAGAATAAGTACTGACAAAGCAACGTAGCAGCTGTTTCTGCTTCTTTCATTATCTTCATCTCTGGACGGCATGAAACGTGGCCAACACTGACTGACAGGAAGAAAAATTATAATTTGAAAGTTGTTCCCAAATTCGATACACTTTTCTGCTGTAGATGGACAAAATTCTGCTTGTTTCTTCTTCCTCTATGTTGGCAAACAACAGTTTTTTTCACGCTAGTTTATTCGCTCCAAAACAGTTGATGTAAACTGATTTACGTTGCTTTTTGTTTTGGTTTGTTTGGGTTTTTTTGTTGCAAGATTTCAAAACTTTACTTGAAAGCTCTTGGCAGATATCAGTAGAAATATTTAAAAATCATGATGTATTTAAAAAGGAATTCAAATTTCAGTGTATATATATACTGAACATGTCCACATGGTGTTTTTTTTATATGCCGGAAGACACGTCATGAGCGAAATAAGCAGTCAACACCACAGCTGAGCCTTTTCGTATTGAAACCCCACTGCACCAATGACAGTCTCAAAAACATGGATTCAGACTTTTCATTGGGTTTCACACGTAAGAAACCAAATGAACCAATCCTGTCAGCTTACACGATAGTTACTTCAGCATTACAACTTGTCATTGTGCATCACAGAGTAGTTCTACAGTGTTTGAGCGGAGTTTTAGGCGAGCTGGCGTGCTGGAGCTGCAGCAAGAGCGTTGCAGGGACTTCATAGATCTGCACAATCATGGAACATAACTTAGGAAATATGTGAATATGATACACAGAGATGAATTTTTAGGGGTTTAATCAATGACTGGAGAGGAAATGTAAGCAGAAAAACAAAAAATCCCTGTTTCTTGTCCAAGTGTAATTTCTCTAGTGTTGTTTTAATTCTGGTATTGTCCTAATCTCTGTGACACACCTGGTGAACTGCAGAAGGCTAAATAGCACTAAAAATCCAGTTGGCAGTTTCACACCTGTTACATGTCAGCTCAGCACTTCTGGATTATTGTATGTTTTAATTATTGTGAAAATACATTTACACGCAATGAACACATGTCAAGGTCTTCAGAAGGAACGCTGCAGTGTTCAGTTACTCTCAATAGCTTTCTTTCACTCACAGAGGTAGATGCTACACATAAGTAATGAAAACAAGATCCATGTTTTGTTTGTGGAATATTCCATTTTGCTTTTAAAACCTGTTGAATCTGAATGCAGTAACTCACTAGAAGCTGCAGTATTCATGATGCACAATGAATTCACATCTCAGTGTTAATAACGAGTGTTCAGTCGCCGTGTTTCTGTTCCTGCTCAGGAAAGCTTCAGCAGCAGCCAGCTTTAATGTGTCATTCCCAGCTATCTGCAATCGCCAGTTGTTTACCAAAATCGAGGGCCTTGGTGGATGTGTTTTTGTGTGTGTGTGTGTGTATGTGTGTGGCCGGGGCTTTTAATGACGGGGGTAGATGCGTTCTGTTTAGAGATGTGTGTTCTCTGGTAATGCCTGAGGGGGTGGCAGGGCTGGGTGGGCCAGCGAGTCCCTGTGTCGCTGTAAACACACACACTGGGATCCCATTCAGAGGCTGAAATGTGCCTATTTGTGTGTGCGTCTGCATGAGCCGGGGAGCCAGAGGCTATTACTGGCCAGCAGGGTTGCTATGGAGACCAGTGGTGTCAGAGAGGAGCAACATCTGTGGGGTGTTTGTTTGTCAAGACAGGTTTTCCTCTCAGTGTCTTTCTCTTTTTCCCTGTCAGCGCGGTGGTCAAAAGGAAAAGAAAAAAACTCACCAGGGAAAGACCAGCTGAAGTCAGAAAGCCTCGTGCAAAATCCTTAAGTCTCTCGTCATTAATGTTTGCAGAATCGGTAAATATGAATGTAGAGCTGATTTTAAATCTGTGTTTTCTCGGGCAATAGTTCAGCCGCCTCTGCTCAATCATGCTCACAGTAGGCCCTCGGGCTGTCAGTCAGCAGGGACTCGGGGACTCTTTTCACTGGGTTCATGCCAGTGGAAAGCTCACATTCTGGGGAAGCATTTAACCCCTGCCCCCTTGTTGCTCCCTCTCTCCACAGCTCCCCTCTCTATATGGACATGTTCTATTTCCACAGCTCTTTTTCTCCTGGCTGCCTTATCGGCAGCTCAGCAGGGCACAAATTCTCTTTTAATAGGTACTTATTTGGGCAACGGGAGAAGTCCCGTATTTCTGAGCGCACCCCTGACTCCCTCCTCCTGTCCAGCTCTCCTTGTTTCAGACCCTCAAGCTTCTGTTTATTACACATTTTCTCATGATAAGATATCCTCCATTTCCTGGTGTAAACCTTTCAGATGGACAGCAGCGAGCAGAGGGCTGCATCTTCAGTTGTCCTGAATTTACCGTCTTTATTCGAGTATCCATCAATTTGGAGCATTTTAATCCCCTTAAGGTAGCTCCGTATGGTGTTGTTTCACGGTAGCCAGTAAGTCCAAGAGTTTATCTTTAAAAATTAAAATTACATCTTGTCAAATTCAGAGGCTTCTTAAGTACAGGTTCTCACCGGTCGAGCAGAATATGTTGTGTATATCCTCAGTGTTTCTTACCATATTTGGGGAAACCTGGCCTCGGCAGCGCTGTGTGTAACTGGGCAAACCGAACCTTCGACCTCCTAATCTGGTCTAAAAGAGACACACTCAACACAGCGGTGCACAGCTCAGAGTCTGTGACGTAACAGTCATTTTGGAATAATATGGTGTTTTCACTCTGCAGGCATCCCTCCGCAAAGGCCAGTTACCTAACTGTCATCCCCCAAATTAACAAGCTTTTTCAGGTTACCTTCGTCACCTCCGCCATTTATGCCAAGATTAGACTAAGCCTGCAGTTAGATTCTGGTTGTGCCCTCACATGCCTGCAGCAGGATTGTGATATGGATATCATACCCATAAGTGCCTTTGTTACTGCATGACACGGCTCTGTATTAAATAGTAGACATTTTAAGCCTAATTTCTGCCACTTGTAGAACCAAACAGAGCTGCACAATGTATAGTATCGCTGGAGATGCAGTGTGAAACAAGGCTAGTTAACGCAAACACATCATCCTCCAGCTCTTTCTTTCTTTTTTTTTTTTTTAGCTCTCACTGTTGTTATTGTCCACTAGAAGTCTGTCCAAAGTGGGTTTTTCCTTACTTTATTTACAAGACATGGAGTTTGTTGACATACAGGCTCCACGTGTTCAGAGCAAAGCCAGAGAGAAACACTGAAAAGGAAGAGTTGGTTGCAAAATATGGAAACATATTGGCGACAGTACTTCAGTGTCTTGCAGTTATTGCAACCACGGAGCACAACACAGCTAATTTGTCTGATCATTTAAATAAAAAATCGATTACAAAGCTCCGTATGATGAGTGCAAAGTCAGATCTGAATGAAAACCAAAGCAGCAAAAAGATTCTGGATGCTTTTGCCAGTGTTTTCTTTGCCATTATTCAAGTAATCTGGTGAATATTCCTGTATTTTTTCATATTGCAATATATAAGTATTACAGAAGATGAAAATATTGAAGCTTTTCCAAAACCTGTGCAGCCTCAGAACCAGATATGAACCTGTTGTCTGTGTTGCGATAAAAACATTTAAGGCCAAAGTCAGGCAACAACAGAAGTAGAGCCGAAAAAAGTTGAGTTTCACAGTTGAAACCTATTTTTGCAGTTTTCCTCCCGGTGACATTTTTTAATATTTCGTCTGCACCGAAGCCTTTTAAAATCACTTGCACAGACTTCTCTTTCTAATACCAGTGTTCCGGTTGTGCTTCTATTATTAACCAGACACGGACACCATCACCTTGAGAAATGTTCTTTTCCATATTCCATTTGGTGGCCTCAGTCACACATATTCATCACCGAGCGAACGCTGAGGATTTCTACCTACATTTTGAGGCTCTGGTTCATTTTTCACATGTAAACATTCTTAAAGCAACATGCAGTGGGGGATTTTGAGATATTTTGCTTCCATAGGATGTCTTTTTCTTTAGTCTAGTTGAGAGAAAACATCCAAAATACACATTTAGGATGTTTAATTTACACTTTATCTATTCGTATTTGCAGATTTAAATTATAAAACATATATTTAAAGGTCATTTTCTCAGTTTTTTCTAATGCTGTGAACCATGACAGAAGCACTCACATGTACCAAACTTCTCAGTTTTAGTCCTATCTATGTTCTTTTAAAGAAGAGTTTGTCCAAACACCATTCATAGCCTGAGTTATTCAACATTTTATCCCTACAAACATGGTAAAAAATTATTTTTGTGAGTGATCGAAAACCCTCTGTGTGAAAACATTTGGCTATAATATGTCAACAAAAAGAGTGTTTAAGTTGTTTTAGCCTTGTTTGAGTTTCTGTTGAAAAATGGTGCATTTTTTTGGAAGTGTAAGGCATCATTTTCATAATTCAGCATGAATTACAAAAACAAAAAAAAAGCAGCTGTGTGTTTATTGTAAGTAATCAGCTGGGGAAGCTCCATGGTGATATCTATTAGTTAAAAGTTCCACCCTCTTCACCTGTAGGGTCTCCCCTTCAAACATCACTTGTTAGTCTGGTATTTTTTCACTCTCTTCTAATTCGTCTGCCCCCAATTAA